TCCCCCAGGACACCGACTGATTACAGATGTTATCCAAAATCACCTGAACGAGACATTAGAGTATTCGCGGACGTTCCTACGACACCGAAAAGTTCAAATAACCATACGTGCAGAAGAATTAATTTCGACTTGCCAGAAGGCAATCAAATAAGGAAAACTAGGACTATCTGCAAGAAAAGGATCGTTCAAAAACAAAAAGTACCAACACAGTACAAAATTAAGCACTACTTAGTTACCGACTCTCCCTCAACGACGCCCGAAGAGACTTCAAAGAATATAAATTATTACAAAAAGGTCACAACTGTCAGACGAAGCTGGAAATAATGAATAAAATGATTACAAAAAGGTCACAACTGTCCAGAAGAAGCTGGAAATAATGAATAAAATGTTGAAACACCTCACAGAGGTGGAAGTAGTGCTGGTATCGAAGAAAATATAAGGTATTTTATTAATGTTTTTGTGTTATATGTGTATATGTTTACGCGATGATGTGGAAGCTGGGCATTTAAACTGTTAACTAATACCATTGTTTTTATTTTAAAATGTATTGTATATATTATTTATTGAATAGAACTGTACAAATATTTAAGAACAAGAAACTTTTTTTTATTTAAAATTTTCAAAATCGGTATCAGTACTTAAAAGAACTGTACTTTCGTTGATTCCAAATATCTAGTTCGTGGGGTAAATCTTCCAAGAAGAGAGTTTAATGATGATGTGGAAGCTGCGCATTTAAACTAATAGCATTGTCTTTATTTTAAAATATGTTGTATAAATTGTTTATTGAATAAAACTATACAAATATTTACGCGGCTACTTATAAAGCGGCAACGATTGCTTTGATGACAATATTGATGATGATTATATTTTCAAAGTAGTCAACTTTAAACAAAGATGACAAAGAACATCGAAGATGGTTAATATATTCTAAATGCACATAATATGTGTACACAAGTTTTAAAAGTGATGTAAAAGGCGCAACATCATCACTCGTTATGCGAAACGTCGCTCGTTAAACGAGTCATTTTTGTAGATTTAGAAAACTTGACAGTTGACGCATGACAGGTGACAGTTATATTTTCGAATGTAAATTTTAAGTTAAATCACCATCAGTTTATTATGTTTGGGTCTGTAATCTTAGTTGATATTGGCCAGCGAGAGCGTGCTGTTGTTGTTAGACTTTTCGATTAAAAGCCGGAATGTTTACGGTGCAGAACGTAAACACGATCTTGTGTCCACTTTCGCGAGGGGTGGAGAAATTTGCTTGGCGCAGTTTAATATTTTCCGCATCGTTTCTCTTTACCTTGAACGTAGACACGGTGCAATGTCAACATCGTCCTGGGGCGGAGATTTCTTGCGCTGGTCGTCGCCGCTGCCACCGGTAGCCGTGGGTGGTGCATTACTTGTGGAGGCGGTGAAACCTGGCATTGGTAGGCAACCGGTTTGCTGACCGACGCTCAGCCTCAGGGCATCAGGATTGTGGGTGGTAGCCCAAGGACTGAGAGCTGTTCCGCTCAGCAGGACGACCCTTCTGAATAAACCTGAAGACAGAAAAGTAAACATCGACATTATTACAATTTGCAGATAGAAAATATATATTGATACACTTCAAATATTTTTTAAGTTATTCTTATTGAGTTAACTTGGACATTAATGTTTATTTATACAAAAATAGTAATTAATTATAAATTTCAAAATGTATCTCTAATTATTCGATATTATTATATTATAATAAAGAGTATTTCATAATAAAATCGACTTTTGGTTTAATTTCATGTTGATGAATTGCAGAATAAGATGCATAAGTATCTTATTTACATGTGAGCCTTGCAAAAGATACATTAATAGAATTTCTATTTCCAGAGCAAAACTAAATGATATATAGAAAAACTGTTTCTCTCATTTGCAATAAAAAGCAGAAAAGCTTTCGTCGCTTAAACGGTGGAAACTTTTTCCTATATTTTTTTGTACGAAGTTGTCGGACTTGGCTGTCAGAATAATTTATTTGGAATTGGAATTAATTTCCGTTTCGCGTCGACCGACCGCAGAAACGGACATCTGGCGGCGGTTTCCAAGGCGGCGTCCACCCCGTCCACCCGATACCGTTGCATTCCGTCCTCAGTCTGATTCCACTTCCTTTGTTTCTCCGTTTGAGACCCTTCCGCATTTGTGCATCCAAAGTATTCCTATTAATTAGGACCCAGAGGTGGATCAGGGGAGACGAAACCCTCTGCGCGCTCAAAAGCAACGCTCCTCTTTTGTCTGTTTCCTAGGAGACTTGCTTAATGAACTGTAGAAATCTACACACGACAGTACATTCAGAATTTAAAAACTTCAAAGTATCCACCTTCACATTTTTCTCATCCATCTTTTTTCCTGTTATATATATATTTTTCTCCATTTTTATTCTGTACTCCTATTACGTGCAAATATTTTTCATCTCCTATATAATTGGGTTGCTTGCTGGCGACGAGTGAGCATCCCGTTCCAGTGGGTCGCCCTTCGAGGCCAATTTCAATTCCTTTGGGCATCTAACGACTCTGTAAATACTGAGCTTCATTGATGGAACACCAATTAAGGAGATTTAACTACGCTGATATTAGCTACTTTACAAATAACAAGTTTAATCTGCATGTTTACCGTAGCATATTTAGAAACATCCACTATTCATATCAAAGTAGCTTTCTTTCTAAGTTTCCAACTTAATGATTGAACGCCATCTACTCCAATTTGACAGCAATAAATATAATCAATCAGGAATCGACAAATAAAGTTTAAAACGCTAGATGAAACTTGTGAAGGAAAAACTAACTTCGTCGTATAAAAATCGAATCGAGAGAATGTTCATTTTTTTTAGTTCAGTTCTTTATTTTTTTTGTTGTTTTTTTTCTTTTCATTTTTTTTTTTCATCGACCCCCTATTGTTTCGTTCGGAATTTTTACGCCGGCAATAAAGGAATTTAATAAAAATCATTTTATCGAATCGCAGAAACGATTCTAAGCCGAGAGCGTTCGCTTCAAATACATTTAGCCCTCAATCTCTTTATACCGATGTGCGAGGATGCCGGTTTCTAAGGGGGGTTCTATTGGTATGGGGTGGTTTTTGACGTTGCTCGGTTGGCATAGTAAGTAGACTGTATGAAAATAAAAGAGGGCGCTGATATAAAATATGAAACGATGCGATTTACGACCATCCCCATTCCACATGCATCACGTATGTGTGTGCTTTTTTCCATTTATTTTTTTCTTCTTTAAATTTAAATAATAGCTCGGCATCGCAGATTTCTTTCCAGTTTTTTTATTAAATTATACGTTATTTATTGACTTTTACATAATTTGCATACCTTGCTTTATATTGAGGTATAATTTTATTTCGCAGCGTTCTTTTCTTTTCCTTTTGAAGGGTGAAATTGAATTAGCCTACATAGTGTTTTTAAAAACGCTTAAACAGTTGTAGGCATTCGCCGGAATGACATGCTTTCAACAGAATTTATTCATCTACTCAACAAAAGGGATTTTGCTTTATATAAATAATTTATTATTCTCATACGAAATTTAATTTCTCTGTTTTCACCGTTATTGTTTTATTCTTTAGAATTTCATTTTCTATTGACAAATCAAGTTCATATTTATTTGGTTTTTGTTTTTCTCGATATCAAAGGTATGAATTTTCTTTCTATAATATATTTCAAGCTTTTTTTGTTTCATATTTATTCTTCCGTGTGGATCAAAGGCTACTCAACCTTTTCTTAACTTTTATTAGAAGCAATTAACCCTTTGCGAACAGAGATTTTTCAAAGTAGTTTTTTTTTGCGAAACTGCTGTGTATTATTATGTATGGTAACACAAGTAGCGCCTCTGCAGAACTAACGTCAAATATTTTACGGTTCTATCAGAAAAAGACTATTAGTCTATAGATTGAATAACTTCGCCACCACAGAGACCTTCAATGGAATTTTGTATGTCAAACAAAAATTATTACAATACAAAGTTGAGGTTTAGTATTAACTGTAAGGTATGCAACATATGTAGCTACTTTATTTACCATATTTTTCAGACTATAAGACGCACCTTTTTTTACATAGAATAATTGACATAAAATTGGATTGAGTACGGTCCCGAGGTAAAATAATATTCATTTAAAAAAATCGTCCCATAAATTTTGGGTGCGTTTTATCGTATAAGAAATAGGTATTTCTATTTAAAAGTACTACTACTTTTGATTTAAATGTAAAAATAACAATTTGAATTCATAGATTCATAATTGGCGTGTTTTTTCTTCAATAATTAAGATCAATAAAAGTTTTATTTAGATCAGAGGTTCCCAAACTTTTTTGTGTCGTTGACCCCTAGCCATATTTTTCGGTTTTGGGTAGACCCCCTACTTACCTGATATTGATTTTTTGTAAATTTATTATTTATATTGGGACATCTTTATAATTATTAAGATATTTGCTCTGAGACTGCGCGTATGCTTGTAACAAGATGATACTGGTATATCATTATGTGCAGGTTTTTACAAGTTCATAATGTATTTCGACCAAAGCGAATGCTTACATCCTATAACTTACACAATTTTATAAACATATATAATATTTTTTTTACTTCATAGGTACTTTTATAAATAATATATATGTCTTTATATTTTAAGATAGTATAATGTAAGTAAATAGGTACTATCAGTGTATGTTGAGATCCACTATCGTGGACCCCCATTTTTATTTCATGGACCCCCAAACTTTTTTATCGCTAATGTAGACCTCTTGCAGGTTGTCATAGACCCCTGGGGGTCGATATAGACCACTTTGGGAATCACTGATTTAGATCCTAATACATTCATTTAATTTAATTTTATAAGAACCTATACATTTCACAATATGTAAAATATTGGGTGAAGTAAAAAGTTTTGAGTGTTTTTTTGTTAGAGAGCCATATCTCACGATGTTTACGTTGCATCTTGTTATTTTATACTGCGACTTAAAGGCGTCATAACGCTTTAAAAAGTTCTTTGACAGTTTAGTGAATTCAGTTGTGCGTTAATGCGTTCTAAAAAAAGTTAAAAAAAGAAAATTCGATACATTCTTCAGTACCACTTTGACCAAGAAAAAAAGCGGAGCAGGCGGCCAAAAAAAAATGTTCATGGACCCAATACAGTATCGAATGCAGCAGCAAACCGCTGGTTCCAATGCTATCGTTCTGGTAATATGGACGTCAAAGATGGTCAATCGTCGAAAATGTTGATAAAATCATGGAAATCGTCGAGTCGGACCGTGCTCGCATACTTATTCCATTGCCCAGGAACTGAAGATTAGCCAAAACATCCATCTGGTTCCATTTGCTGGTCTCAAGAATAAGACATGGGATAAAACTCTCAGAACTTTTTACTTTACCCAATAATTCCTCTTGAAAAATATTTTTTATAAAAATCGTCTTATCGCCTGAATATTATTTTAAATATCGTAAATTCGTAAATTCGTAAAGCAATTCTTCTTACAAAATGTACAAACGTTAACAACGTTATTTCAATTATTTCCTTGTAAATAACACTCAAACAGGTATTTCATTAGCAAAATTTTCAACAAAGAACCAAACGAGGAGCTAATTTGAAATTCAAAACCGCTAATTATTTTCGCTCCCTTCATAAAACGGAACATTTAATGATTGCGTCGCTTTTTGAAGTGTGGACGGTTTGAGCTAAGTTGCGTACTTTCATTCCTTTCTGATTGAAAGGAACATAAGAATAAGAATAAAGTAATGCATTATTATATTCACCTTTTGATGATGGTGAGACAAAGAGTAGGTTGGCAAGGGCTGCACCAGTATCGTGACCCATGAGGGTGACTCTGGTCGGATCACCACCGAAGGCACCGATGTTCCGTTTGATCCATCCGAGTCCTGCTGCGATGTCCTTCATGCCCAGGTTTCCGCCCGACGGCGGGTCACCACCGGTGTCCACTTTGTACGCACCGACGGGTCTCGTCCTCAGGAATCCTGCAAATGTTCAGAGCAGAGTAGTGAATTTAAAAATTAATTGCAAATTGTAACCGCCAGAGGCGCAAGCATCAAATTCACGAAATTTGTTGAATATTGTAAACATTTGCTATTGAGATAATATCTATCCATATTTAATAAATGCATGAAAATCAATAAAAAATATAAAAATTTGAATAAAAGACAATTGTTTGCAAACCTTTTTTTATGTATTATAAATATTTGATTTGTTGAAACAGTTATTACAGCTATATTGATGAAAAAATATTTTTTTACACAAAATAAATAAAACAAATGTACATATTAGAGAATCTAGATTGTTGAACATAATAAAGGCTTTTCGAATTTTTTTGCCTTCACTGTGAACCAATGGATCGAATAAATCAATCATTAATTAATTAGTTCTCAATATGCACGACTGCACTGCGTAAGCCGAACGCTGGAAAACAAGTATGTATTGGGGTAGGTACTTCAAATTTCTGAATGAAGATATTTTTAATTATTTAATACTAATTAATATTACCGGAAATGAAATGAAATAAAAGGATTTAATATCAATAAGATTTTTGGAAGACGTAGTTTTTAAAAGGCTAACGGAGGAACAATAAATTGATTACAAATATGCTGGATGCGTTTTTTGAGAAATGAATCATATACAATTTTCTAAGATATCGATGGACGAGAACACAGAGTTTAAAATAAAGGATTTATTACCACGTCGGGGTAAACCAAGTAAACGGTAAGAAAAAACATATTATTGACTTAATAATTGCTATTATTTTGATAGGAATTGTAACTCTCTTAGATACACTTAAGCAGTGTGACACAATTTAAATATAAAATAACTTAAGTAACTTTCAAAATGAACGGCTCGATTTTTTGAGAATAGAATAGACTTTCAATTCTATTCTATTCTCGAAAAATTGAGCCGTTCATTTATCAAAACGTTATCTTATAAATTTAAAACAAATGCATTTTGTGATTCATATACAATATATACAAACGTATAGCGTACAAAAGAAGTTAACTTTATTTCTCCAAAATTTTAATGATTGAAGACATTATATTTCTTTGTAAAATCGTCAGCATCAAAAACGTCGACAAGATTGAATAAAATAATTCTGATTCATAGTAGACATTACTCTGCTCGTATCAGCTATCAAGGGATATTTACTGTTATGGGGATGTTCATTGACCTCTCTCTCTCTCTCTGCAACGCTCCACACATTATAATCCAAGGAATTGAGGTCCGGAGAGTAAGAAGATCTTTTGAAAGTGACCGCATTGATTTTCAGAGATCATGTTCAATGATTTATTGAAATCGTTGAACAAAATTCTGGCGTTCTCGTTCTGTCAGAGTTTTTAAGGTTGGACATTTCGTGCACAGATTTCCGACTTCTGATTTGTTACCATCTTTGTTGTCCAACTCCTTACAAACTTTATAAACGAATGATCTAGTAAAGGTAAAAACGTTTGGGGACCGCTGATATAGACCAGTGGTGGCCAATAAGCCATTTTCTCCCACTTAGACTACGCCTATGACAAGTCGATCGCGACACATTTTTAAGATAAAAAGATCTTCTGTACACAAAAGTATGACACCCCTGATATAGAGAGTTCATTGCAAGTTTTATAAGTCGACTGAACTGTCATTATTTTTTTTATGAATATTTGAGTAACTGCAAGCATTGCGAATACAAATGATATGATAATTAATTTTGTTGGAGATTAGTTTCGAAGCATTGTCTTTGAATTGGGTTACTTCTTGGGCGCCGTGACGTGTGCCGCTGGATCCGCGCGTTGCTTGCGCCACCCACTGACGGAGATTAGTATTTGTTGAATGGGTTTAAATTCGGAGCCCCAACAATGAATTAATGTGGGGCGGCCGGGGGAAAGGACGATTAGACGTCGTTACAATGTATTTATACGTACATAACTGGAAAGGTAAATTGACAGAGAAACTTAACTCTTAAAACAAACAGGCGTAGACAGGGGACTCCCCCCGAAAATTAATCGCATTGCGGAGTGGCTGCATGCAGCAACAATTAGTCTGTTCTCGAGCGATTTTCCGTGCCAGAATCCGTTGTTTGCGCATGCAATCACATCGTCCGTTTCCACCCCCATCTTCCCACTTGTCTTCCCATATTTAGAGCGTCAAGCTGAATGGAGACGCGCGTGCGGCTGGTTGAAGGGGAACTTCGCTGCAGCAGAAGTTGCCGACTTATTTCCATAATGGGAATCGGTTTAACAAAAGCCAAACAGGCAGGCTTACCAACTGTAACCATTTTCCCCTCCCTACAACTGCCAGAGCCACAGTGAATCCAATATCGCATAATCATCGCTAGCCCAAAACTTGATTCCCGTCTCACTCTCTCACTCACACTAAGTGTATATGCTAACCTATTATGAATCCACGCTTTGATTATACAAAACTTTGGATTAACTTGTTTAATTCCCACAGTAAATAGATTGTTGCCCAAGAAACAGCGTTGCAACCTATTAGTGCTTTTCTCGGTCTGTTGTCTTTACTAATAATACATTTTCACACAAACAATGCTAATTCAGAAACAACGTTTACATTATGCATGGTTTATATAACATCAGAATCAATTTACAAGAAAAATATGAGAATCTTTATTATATACATCTTATTAAATTATAATTAATAATTTATTTTGAAACTTTACTTTTAGGTTAAAAATGACAAACTCTTCAAAATAGTGTTTTAAATAATTATTAACAGTTCTATACAAAATAAGTAATAACAGATTAAGAGAATTAAGAGAAATTTACTATCCTTTAGGACAGGTTTTCCGAAACTATGTTGAGCCCATCGAAGATTACATCGTTCTTCGGTTTCCATTGGGATATTTTGCATCGTTCAGAACAATAGTAAGTAGAGCACATTCATTGTACTCTCATTCAAATGCTTCATTTCGACGTTCAAAATGTTGTTAACTGAATCACAGCCATTATCACATGCATTTGACTTTATTCACGTCAAACATTAAAATCGCCGATGTGGCCAGTTTTCTCGTCAAAGTTACTTTCGTTTACATCGAATTTCGTTATTTCTTCGTTAGAGTCACTTTCACTGAAGTGGAATTCGTTGATGCAGTATCTTCATCGTAGACAGACTCACACACTCACTCATCTCCTCTTTCATCATCAACTCATCATCGTCGTCGACGATTTGAAATACTTCTTTTGAGTAGCTGTACTTTGTCATTTTCTAGTTTTGGGTAGTTTTCGATGCATTTTGCAATCATTATTACAGATTTCCCGAAAAGAAAATGGTAGCAGGTAGTTCAGCAGATTTTGGTTTTGATGTAATTTTGGAAAAAATAATACAATTTTACAAGAAAAAAGGTATAGATGATTACAGGTCAATAAAATAAAATACAACACTAATACAATAATAAATATTTCGAAAATTTTAGGAAACCATATTTCAATTGCTTCAAAATATATTAAAGTTGATTGTTCAGCAATAAAAGTAAAAGAACTCTAATGTTAGAATATGCGGAAATCTAGTGAATAGCTGGAATTGTACATAACAAACGTTTTCCTTTTATTTCTTCTCTACATGTTTTCATGAAACACCACTTTCCTTGATGATAAAAATTATATTTCATGCCTTCACTAGATTTTTGCCAATTCTTAAAAAAAATTGGATAACGTTCTATCATTTTCAAGAACATTTTACTTTTTTTACAAGTAATTAATCATCTTTTTAGAATTCATATAAAGATATAGCTGAATATTCTATTTAAATAATTGTCGCTCAAGATAAAAGTGAATCGACTGATTCATCTGATGATGAATCATGTGAATCATCTGAGAATAAATATAGTGGATACGAACTTGGCCTTGCAACAAAGAGGATTAAATACGACCATAAGAACTATATGAAATGGACTGAAGATCAAGATGAATTTGATTCAAAGTCGAAGATGTTGCAATCCTCTACGAGGACGATATTGTAATTGGGGAACAATCAGCGAGAACGCGTCTCACTACACATTCGGCAGCGGACGCGAAGAAAGTGAAATGGATTGCAAGGATAGTGGCAAATCAATTAAGAAAATTTTGAAAATCAAAATGGAGCAAATGGATGAGAAGAATATCGATGAGAGTAAAGTCACTCATTCGACTTGCTCTTGCTCTGAACCATATGAAGGCAACATATCCCGAAGATCCTGGGACATATCCCATACGAATAACCACATAAACTCGAGAATTTTTTAAATTAATGCTATTTAATTGTAAATATACCAACACCTTTAATGTAAATTTACCATTCTAACGAAATACTCTTTTCTAAGTTTATCTTATAAATTTAAATTTTACAAAAAAAAAACTTTCCTTTATCGTTTATTAATTTTATTGAATTATTGTAAGTTTTCAGTAACAATTTTCTATTTTACAAGAAACTGATGAGTTATCTTTTTTTATATTCTAAATTTGAAATATTTAAAGTTATTTTTAAGATATAGCTAAACACTATATTTCATTAATTGTTGCAACTTTAAATCTTTTTGAATTCAGAATAAAATAAAGTTGATTGTTGTTAATGAGACTACATTTTTCAAAATTTTAGAATTTATAAAAACTTAAGAGTGAATATCAATAATTATATAAATGTAGTGTTTTTCTGTATGTTATATTTAACTTTGTATATTTTTGTTTCAGAATAAAAAAAAGGTATTGATTCACATAAAGATGAAATTACCAAAATTTGTAAAAACATATTGAATAGCAAAAGTTATTTAAAGAGTGTTTAGCTATATCTTATATTTAACTATTAATATTTCACGTTAATAATAGTTAAAAATAAAGATTATTTATTTCTAAAATTTAGTAAAATATTAATGAAAATCTTAGAATTTGCGAAAAATCAATTTTGATTTATGATATAAAAAGTGGCAGAAAGACCTTTCGAGTATTTTAGTTAAGTTTATATTTTGATAATTTGCTGCAATAAATATTATTACTAAGAA